GAGACAGGCCCGGGCTGGGAGAGGACCCCCTGTATGCAGTGCCAGAGCAGGTGGCTGCTAGGTTGAGGGCCAAGAAGGCTGTGTCATCTTCTGCTACACAGAGCACCCATGGTGGTACATAGGTGTCTATTTGTGGCATGACAACATGTAAAGATTATGTGGAATAATTAAGAGTTTAGAGTTTAGAAGCCACTCTTGCTTTGAGGTAGTTCTATCCTTCCTGATCACGGAATGTATAATCTGTGAGAGTATTAGTGCTGAATGCCCCTTTGATTATGTATGTATGTATGTATGTATGGGTTTTTGTTTGCATAAGTTTGATTCGTATCACACATGCATACACATCAATACATTCTCTATTGTTCTGAGATTCTGAGGGTACCATTGCACAACCTGTAGCACATACCAAAACACAACACATAGTTTTATAACTCTATTATACGTGCAGTTTATGCCCAAAACTTGGTTGTGTATACTGTGCCATAGCACAGTGGTTTGAGGTTTACCTTGCCTTGTGTTGTGTTGTAGATTCGAACCCCTACCAGCTGAGTTGCCCCTGGTTGCTCAGTTGGTAGAGCGCTCGCCTAGACTGCAGAGTGTCGTGGGTTCGAATCCCACCCAGGGAAGCTCGAGCTGCCCTGGGTGTAGCTGAGTGTAGTTGATTTGTTTGTTGTGCCTTTGCCTTTCTACCTCATAGTTTTCACATGCAACAATATCAAGCATTATGGATATTTCATCTCTGCATGTCCACCATGTCTCCTCCATCGTGTGTGTTGCAGAGATCCCAGAGAGTGTGGAGCCGGTGTTGCTAGAGGCTCTGGGGGCGTGGCAGAAGGCGGAGTCAATGAGAGACAGTGACATCACTCTTGCCAGAAATAACTATTCACGAGCTGCCAGTGAGTTCAAACCTCTGCTAGTCAGTTGAGTTAACCAACTTTTAGCCATTAAGACATACTTTCACTGCAACTTTAGTAGCTATCACTAGTAAGTAAGAGTCAGACTTAGTTTCGAAGAAAATGTTTAAAACTGCCGTACTCTAAGGCTGGGTTCAAGCAGGCAGTGTTGTGTTGATAGAGCACATGAGCGAGATTTGAGGTTCCAGTCTCTAGGAACATCGTTAAACCAAGTCTGTGCATCATCGATCTCGGGAATGTTGATAAGTAAACAGGAATTTGATTGCATTCTTGCACTGGACCCTTATCTACATCATTAGTACATAGCTTTTGACGTGTATCTACTGCATACTATATACCACTATTCCGCTTGATCTACAACATTACCTCATGTGCCTATAAATATAATACAGGAAGCAGGCTGTGTGGCACGATGCAAAGAACATACGTACATGCATTGTGAACCTAGCCTAAGTTAATTGCCATTACTACGTATGTACATATATCCAGTGCTGTATGATAGTTTGTTGTGTGAGTGATGTAATGTTGTGTTGGCAGCTCTACTGACGAAGGTGCTGTTGGATCCAGCAGTGGACCCAACTCTCAAACAAAACATCTCCTCCAAGAGACAAGAGGCTCTAACCAAGTGCAGTGCGATGGAGACACTGATCAACCGCAGCAAAAGGTGCAGTAAGTGTAGCTTCCAATACCCATACACATACAGTGCTCTATATACAGATATTGAGTCCAGGAAACTATATGCATTAGATACTTGCTGGGCCCCTGAGCTATGTACATTAGTATAGTTAGAGTGCAATGAGGAAACAGCATCAGGTTCCTCAAGACTGCATTTCTTCCTGGACGAGGCATCATGTGTATGTGTAACCAGATTGTTTAAGAGGTGTACATGCGGAGGTTGGTGGAGCTGATACTGTGAGCAAGCGCTACTTTCTTGCTGGGAAGTCGAGCGAGGTGTTCACAGGGAAAGCTTGAAACCTTTGAAGACTCAGCCCATGTGTTGATAGAGCACATGAGCGAGATTTGAGGTTCCAGTCTCTAGGAACGTCGTTAAACCAAGTCTGTGCATCATCGATCTCGGGAATGTTGATAAGTAAACAGGAATTTGATTGCATTCTTGCACTGGACCCTATCTATATACAGTGTGTACGTCGTTAGTATATAGCTTTTTACGTGCATCTACTGCATACTACCACATTCTATTCCACTTGATCACCTCATGTGCCTATAAAAAGAATACAGTATGTCACTACGTTAGGGCTAAATTTAGAATGTTACTAAAAAGTGAACAAACAATAAGGCCATACGAAATTAGAATTAGGTTTAAGTTTTTATTGTCTTATAACCACAGGCCGGTGTATGGAGGAAGTGGGAAGTGCAGTCAATGTGGGCAGTCGCGACAGCTCAACTATCAACAGATGTGTGGACCGTGTCACTTGAAGAACAAAATCAGCCAAACTTGAGATTAAACTAATGGTGTATATAATGTAATGTGTATTATACAGCAAAGCCAAAGCAACCCATGCTCAGCTATATTATACGAGTAGACCACTCGACTTTCTGGAGGCATACGTTTTCGTTTATGGCTCCGTCGACAATATGGACCCTTGTCTCTTGGCTGCTGCCCACCTCGCAGCCTGTAGTGCCAGAATAGCTGTGTCACACGCACGCACGCACACACATGCGCAAACCCTTGCTGATAGTGGTAAGGGAAATGGGAGTGGAAAATGCAAGAGTTTATCCAGACACCAGAATAAATTTACGTACTATATACAGGATTTGCCTAAAAACCAATTATTAATAGTGCCCAAAATTGGACTAATTCATGTGTGTGTATATACTCCTGAATTTTCTACGGTGGCTTGTTTTAGCGTTTGTAGCTACTCTACTTAAGCCGCAAGTGGCTTTCCCAGCCAGACTCACTCACTGTTCCTTTGTTTGCACCACTGTTCTTTATGTCGTATGGCATTTGTACTGTACTACTACGTACGTGGGGAGTTGCTTTGTTCTGACTCCTGGTAGAACAGTTAACATGTAAATAATTATGTTAATAATTATGAGAGATTTGATTTGCCCTGACACTGTCAGAGCCAGATTGCAGTGTTCTGTATACGCTGGCGGCGCAAAGATTGCATAATATGCGCAGTAAACTCACAGCATTTGGCTAAAATGAACGACAAACAACTAACATTGGAATGATTTCTACTTGAGTCTTTCTCGTTCTGATACTAATGCTACTACTAAAGTTTTGTCCCAAAGCACTGCAAACCGATCACTGAACGTAGAGCTCAATTTGATCAATCAAAACGTTTTCATTTTTGGTTCCCTCGTCATTGCACACCCTCATCTCCACGTCGTCGCAAGTTGGCGATTCGAACGATCGGGAAAACCACGGCAAGCCTGCCTGGTTGCAGCAACCGTTCTGGGGGGTACAACCCTTCCCGTCCCACAGAGGATTACGCGTGAAAACTATATCTCCTTTCGGTATTCTTTCTTTTCCCGGATTCTGGTTGGCTGTGTCACAGAACAGGTTTTTTTTAACGAAATCGGGCACTTGAGGTTGTCTCGCGTTTTTGCCAAATGGTCGCATACAGGGGCACTGAGCAAATGTAAATCCCTCTGATAGGTCGTTGAGAGCAGAAGCGAAGGTCCAGATGTGTTCGCGAGTATATCCATGTGTTAAGCTGATTCCATCCACGTATGCATGATTAATGCTCACTCCTCTTTTGCCCTTATTCGCCACGATTGGTGTTCCGAAAGCATCGGTGCTACCTTCCTGGTATCCCCTGATCCTACCACAGATTCGAGTGTACTGAATACCGTGTGTTACAAAATATGTGGATGAAGAGCATCCAGGGTTTTTGTTGGTTGTTCCACATAATGCTTTTCCGCTCACCACTACATCTTTTAAAGTAGACGGACAGTCATTGGATTGGGTCATGTCAACATCGGCTATTCTCATCCAGCCTCCAGACTGCCCACCACAGACATTACTTCCCATATCACAGTGAACTTCGACAGGACCATTGATTCCCCGGAGCCAGTACATACCTGACTTAAAACTAGGGTAGGCGTCCTTGATGCTCTTGCAAGAGTCTCCTGGGTTCTCTCGTGAGCCATCCCCTGTGGCTGAACCTTCTAGTGATTCTTCTATCTCTATCACTAATTTTCCAACTTTTGCACAAAATTCCTTCACGGTTTCAGTGATCCTTATGAGAAGCTTACGATCGCATTCCTTCTCCTTCTTCTTCTCCACACAAACTTTCGGTTTTGCCATTGATGACACCAGCTCATTAAAATCAGCTGCCTCTGTAAAATCATCGTTTTCGAGTTCTTCTTCCACCCAGGGAGTTTCTATTTCCTCTCCCTCGTATTCCTCCGTCCTTGGCTCTCCGTCATTGATCAGCTCATCCATTTGCTCCTTTGCTTCCATTAGCTCATTGATTTCCTTCGTGAACCAGGCATCACTTGCCGGGTTGGCTGTGACTATGGTGCAGTAGGCCAGCACCATTGCAGAGATGAGGCGAAGAGAAACCATTGTTGCTGTTTGCAGGAGAAATCCTGATGCTATTCACTCAGTTCTTCGCATCTCTTTTATAGCCTTGTAACCATGCACTTTACATGCAATTCTCCGTGACCCTTTTACTGTGTAGAAAATGGACTTTTGATGAAACTCATTATTATTGGTATGCAGTAGAGTGCAGATGATGGCATGCAATATGTAGTATAATAATAATTAGATCATGTAAACGTACAGCAGCGTAATTGCTAAGTGTTCCTGTATCTCAGTAGTCTGCTCTACCCCGCCACATGACTCGCTTGGCCATAATTAGGAGAGTCTGTGTTAGTTACACGCATGTTTCAGAGCGTTAGCAATTCGCAGTGCCTTTGCCAGGTTCGACATGGCCTCTCCGGGAAAAGATAACCATTTACCTATTAGCTAAAGCGTGATTTCCCTGGAATGGAGTAGTACGTACAGCTTGCCATTTGGCACGAACTGCAAGGAAATCATTGCATGGCAATGCATTTTATACAACCACCACAATAGTTTGATCGATAATTGATTCGTGGCATTTGATTAGGCTTCAATCCTTAGATTAGCCAGATCGTGCCTTACTAATAGCAGTGGAATATTGTAGCCACCCATAACTCAAGCAGATGCATTGGTGCATGCCATGTCTTAGGACAGTCTTTGCCTACAGGTTTGACTGTTCCTGGATATGAGCACTTATCCTGAGAACTAACTTGTGCTTCAACATTGCACAGTCTATTCCCAATGTTTTTATGGGGAGAAAAGTGAGCCCACCAAGTCGGCAGAGATTTAATCCCTCTGTAATGTACAGGTGATTCTAAATACGTGCAAAACTCGTGAAATATTTAACTGCTCGCATTATACCCTTCATCTGATGAGGGAAGACCATTATGTATTATGTATATATCATACCAGATTCTTTGACCAATGAAAATGGAGTATGGACTGGGTGATAGATTGATGAGGCTGCCGCCATCTGCTGTCTAATTATGCACACATGTAATGTGCTATGTGCATTACACTGTTCCAAACAGGATTGCCTTTGCCAAGGTTTGCATTGCCTCTCCAGGAAGGATTACCAGAATTTCTGGAATGAAGTGGGATGTGGGTAGCTAGTATATTATTATAACTTGGCACAGACACTAATATGAGTAATTTTGGTGCCCAAAGCTAATGCACTCTCAATCATGCATGTATGCAATAATGCCTTGTTCCCTGTTCGGAGAACATCACTCAGACGGATTCCTACATAATAGTTAGACGCTGATTCGAGGTAACTACGCGCCGAGAGCCCCGGCATTGTGGCGCAGCGAGGGCACTACCCCCGGGGCGCGCGGTAATGACTCCGCCTTCTCCTGTGCGCATGGTTTGCGCGTGCGCGGACGACGCGTCAATGTAGATTCAGTTTGTTGATGTTGTTGTTTACATGTACATTTTGTTTGTTTTCCTGTTTTATCTGTAGGTTTTGTAGGTTCACCCCGTCTATGTTTATTACGGTATTTAGTAAACCTCGGCTTTGCAATCTGATTGGTCAATTCGAACCTAAATATTATTATACCACTCATTCATAATAGCTCTGTGTTACTTATCTGTTATATAAAAAGTGGAATAATCATTTTCTTCAAAATGAAGGGGATATAGGGATGGCTCAAAGCACCAAAAAGGAAGGAACAAGGGGTCATTTCACAGCTAAGACATAATTATAATACAAGTAAACATGACACTATCCCTATATCTTTGTCTGATCGTACTTCACTAGTAGTCAATAGCTGAACAGGGATGGTGTCATGTTTATTTGTGTGATGATTTTTCCACTTTTTAACCGATAAGTAACACAGAGCTATATAATTATCATGTTTATTTGTGTGTCTTAGCTGTGAAATGACCCCTTGCTCTTTTCTTGTTGGTGCTAATAGCTCTGTGTGTTAGCCTGGCATCCCCTGGCATAGATCCAAATGCATTATATACACACGTGCCACTCACACCAATGCATGAGCTCTAGAGAATCACATGATACAGTATGCACTTTCTATGCTTCATCCACTGTAGGTTGTGTGACACTATATTAAACTCGTGCTAATGCATGAGCTCTATATAGACAATCACGTCATGATAGTGTCTATGCTTCAACAGATAAGTAACACAGAGCTATATATCATGTTTATTTGTGTGTCTTAGCTGTGAAATGACCCCTTGCTCTTTTCTTGTTGGTGCTAATAGCTCTGTGTGTTACCCCTGGCATAGATCCAAATTATTATATACACACGTGCCCTATTAAACTTGTGCTAATGCATGAGCTCTATATAGACAATCACGCCATGATAGTGTCTATGCTTCAACAGATAAGTAACACAGAGCTATATATCATGTTTATTTGTGTGTCTTAGCTGTGAAATGATCCCTTGCTCTTTTCTTTTTGGTGCTAATAGCTCTGTGTGTTACCCCTGGCATAGATCCAAATGATTATATACACACGTGCCCTATTAAACTCGTGCTAATGCATGAGCTCTATATAGACAATCACGTCATGATAGTGTCTATGCTTCAACAGATAAGTAACACAGAGCTATATATCATGTTTATTTGTGTGTCTTAGCTGTGAAATGACCCCTTGCTCTTTTCTTTTTGGTGCTAATAGCTCTGTGTGTTAGCCTTGCATCCCCTGGCATAGATCCAAATGCATTATATTATACACACGTGCCACTCACACCAATGCATGAGCTCTAGGGAATCACATGATACAGTATGCACTTTCTATGCTTCATCCACTGTAGGTTGTGTGACACTATATTAAACTCGTGCTAATGCATGAGCTCTATATAGACAATCACGTCATGATAGTGTCTATGCTTCAACAGATAAGTAACACAGAGCTATATATCATGTTTATTTGTGTGTCTTAGCTGTGAAATGACCCCTTGCTCTTTTCTTTTTGGTGCTAATAGCTCTGTGTGTTACCCCTGGCATAGATCCAAATGATTATATACACACGTGCCCTATTAAACTCGTGCTAATGCATGAGCTCTATATAGACAATCACGTCATGATAGTGTCTATGCTTCAACAGATAAGTAACACAGAGCTATATATCATGTTTATTTGTGTGTCTTAGCTGTGAAATGACCCCTTGCTCTTTTCTTGTTTGGTGCTAATAGCTCTGTGTGTTAGCCTTGCATCCCCTGGCATAGATCCAAATGCATTATATACACACGTGCCACTCACACCAATGCATGAGCTCTAGAGAATCACATGATACAGTATGCACTTTCTATGCTTCATCCACTGTAGGTTGTGTGACACTATATTAAACTCGTGCTAATGCATGAGCTCTATATAGACAATCACGTCATGATAGTGTCTATGCTTCAACCGCTGTAAGTTGTGCGACGCTAGCACACTGCAGTGCAGCCAGGTAAGCTGAGCAACATTCGCCCCTCTCATAGTAGTGATTGAAAAACCACAACCAGAGAGAATGAGAACTTTCTTTCGCTTGTGTCTTGACCAAACATGAAAACAAATAATTTGCCTTCAATGGTCTACATAAAAAAAATGTCAATAACTTTATCATAAAAAGATTGCAATCAACTAGTATTAGACTACATAATGTGTTAGTTGCACATAGTAACAGGTATAATGAGCCGGGAGCTATGCAGGTCTCCCATCTCTCTGATGCTCTGTGCCTGGTGGATGTTCCTTATGGAGAGAGGGACAACGAGGGTTGTTTTCTTATTTACAACACCAACTTTTGAGTCACGAAATCTGTTGGTCAGCATTTTCCATTGTTCTTACAGTATTATATGTAGCTCGTAACCCTCGTTCGAATCATAACCTTATGTATTGGGTAACAATAATAACAAATTTCGTGACTCAAAACTTAGTCGTAACAAGGCAAGAGTGACACTTTATGCGGATTCCATTGCAAATTATTGTTAGATTTGCAATTACGAGAGTCTGGCTACTGATTAGCAGCAGAGATTAAGAACAAGTAGTGGGTGCCAAATTGCAAGGTACTGTAGACAAAATAATAATGTAGCATGCTCCAAATAAGAATTAATGTTACTGCTCAAAACCAATGCATTGAGGAGGAAGCAAATGCAAGTGTGAAACAGATTGGCATGTAAGACACAACAGTATCGTAGAAAGAAAACCTCTTGTTTCACGTGCCAATCAGACAGAGTGATGGGATAGAAAAGGAAAGCAAAGCGGTCCCACCTAGTCGTCTGAATGCGGAATTTCTCTGTATTATGAATGGGTATAATTATACCAGACACTGGCCAAATACGGTAATGTTACACGTGATTGTCCGCATGAAACGTGCAAAAATTCAAACTGCTCGTTTCACTTGCCAAAAATGCGTATCATTCCTCCAGTAATCAATGTACCAGTCTCCATCGGAGGATCTTGATCCAGTCTTCGGCCTCCTGAGCTGAACTGGCGTACAGGAAGAAGGTGCGGTAGGATGTGATGATCCTGCACCACAGAGACACACAGCGATGAAACCAAATTTGTCAAGATGACAAAGAATGATTGTGACCCATCAGTGAGATGTACAGCTATGTATGTGTACGTATGTAGGTTCAATTTCTGCTTGATGCGTTCACGAACGTGAATTCATATTGACTGACAGGAATATTGACTAAAACAAGCAACTATGTAGTTTGAATATCTGGGAATTTCAAATGGGATACTTTCGCTTTAAAAGTGGGGTTCTCATCTTTCTCATCTCATTAACCCTCGGCGCGCATGCACAGCGAGGGTTACGGTAGTTGGTTTGTCTGTCTGTGTGTGTGTGTGTGTCGACGCTTATTCTGGAACTACGAGGCGGCCTATTAGCGATTCCAGTGGCTTCAGTACTACACGAGCCTGAAAAATAAAAGGGCGATTTTCTTGAAACGACTACGTTCCAGAGCGACAAACTGGCACAGTCGTGGACCGCGTTGCGTGGCCCAACCCATCAATAAGCAGTGCGCATGCGTATACTAGACGCGATCAACGCGTGACCTCGGCCACCGCGAATGCAATCTAATACCGTAACTAGCCCGTGTTAGACTCTCCGCGGGCTACTAGCGGGAGACCACGGGTAAACGCTAATAGCTGGCCTAGCCCATTAGCGGCACCGCACATGCGTACGTAGTTGGCCGAGGGTTTGCACTTTAGTGCTTTTCATTAGTGCCGTAACTATACAATTAAAGTCCAGTAATCATCATCTAACATACTGCACTCTCTCTCTGTGCTTTACCTGAAGCAGTTCTGCTTGCCCTGACTGTCGTCAGCCAATATATCAGAGACATCACCGAAGTTTATGACCTTGATGGGCGTTTTCTCCTGTACACAACATGAGGACATGACTATGCACTTATTCCTATGGTGGCAGCTATTAATAAGGAACACCTTGGGAATATTTAAAGTTTTTTAGGGGAAGAAGTTTTAAGAGTTTATTCAGGGGGAGAACTAAGTGTCCCTCATGGAGAGGTTTCCACGGTACCCATACTTTACACGTGGGAGGACGCTTTCAAAGGGAGAATCCATTAGAAATTTTTTGAGTAAAAAAAAATTTTTCCCGTCAATTTTTCAGGCAGTGGTCATCTGCATGGCATTGACACAGACAAATCAGAGAGTTACTATAATCATGTACAGGTGTATCCATCACATTATAAGTAATGGTGTATGATTACACTATGTTTTGTGTTGGTATGTATGACTGTACCTCTCTACTTCTGAAGTACTTGAGTTCGTTCTTGAAGAGAACAAACCACCGGGTACGCCAGGTCTGCCAGGGAAAGTGAGGGAGAGAGAGGGAAGGAGGGGGAGGAGTCAAAGTCATGTGACAACGACATCATCATTATTCCAGCATCATCATGCAAATAATAAGCGGCTCTGTGCATTATACAGACAGAATCCACCCTTCAGCAATCATTTAAAATACCACACCAGTTATCAAGTCCCTATTCCTATCTCGCTGTTCCTACACTTCCCTGAAAGAAAAAGAGAGGGGTTCGTTTTGTTGTTTAAAAATTTCTAATAGGGAGCATGCTCACTAGTAAAATTTTCGATACGATTCTATTTGGAGCAGTCTCAGCCAGGAAATGTATAACCAGGAATAAGGCTTTAACGAAGTATTTCTAGTCACATGATAAAGATGTGTACTCATCTATAGTAGCTACCTTTCTGTGGTAGCCCAACTTGGTGAGGTAGCCTTCCTTGGAGGCAATCTGAATAAGAGACAACCAACTGTCACCAATGCACCATAATGCATAATAGCAATACATTCTGTGTATACGTAACAGATGTCAATTTTAGTGAATCTATAATGGTGTCTGTGGAGTGTCGTGAATGTAACATTTGCTGAGTGCATAAAGCATGACCATACACGTGATATTTTGTCAAACTCTCACTGGTTGAACTATGTAATGTAACATGCTTGGTTAGTTTACCCAAAAGTGTATATTATGTACTGCAGAGGTTTAGGCATGTGTACAGTTTTAAGAGTTCAAACGTCGTTTTTTCAAAAGCTAAGAGATGAGAGAGAGAGAGAGCGATGAGAGAGAGAGAGAGATGAGAGAGAGAGAGATGAGAGAGGGGGGAGGAAGGAAAGGAGGGGGAGGTTACCGAGAAGACAGGCTGGCTGGTTGCGTTTCTCTGTGGCTGTGGCTGGCCCCACTCTGCATGGACTCTGATGTTGTCGTAGCACTCTGGTTCCTCCACCTCTCGCGGGTAGGGGAACTTGAGTAGCGTCAACACTCCTGACGAAGGGAGAGAGGGAGGGAGGGAGGGAGGGAGGGAAGGGAGAGAGTTACAATGGTGTCTTAGTAGGTCAGAAACTGTTGAAGCGAATGTGGCAGTGCTTAAGGGCTAAATTTAGAATGTTACAGAAGATGGAACAAATAGAGCCCAGTGAAAGAATTCCCATCTTAGTAACAGTTTCCAACTTTAGCCCTTATAATTATACTGCTGCCACTCCCTTTAACTCCCACCCCACACACACTCTGTTTCACATATCACTGGTCCTGCAATACACACATGTTCCCACCCACGAAATTTCACGAATGACGGCTAATAAACTGCAAAGTTAGGGACAGAAATTCTACAGATCTCTTTCAAAGGTTCCGACAATAATATGGCATTCACACAAAAACACTAAAATACAGTCCCACTGTTTACTACATGTACATACGTAATTATGTAAGACATATTGCATACCGGACTCTCCTCCGATGACTGGTTTACTCTCGAAATGTTCCAGGAGCTCTGAGACCGTCTGGAACTTTCCAAAACCAAAACTGAACTCGTTCCCCTCCCACCTCACAGGGAAATGCTTCACAGAGTTTTTGGCTCTTCGGGGAAAGAGAGGGAGGGGGTGAAGTAATGTGGTTTGTGGAGTGGTTTAGCTATGATATATATACACCAACATCTCATTTGTGGTGCTGTGTGTCTATGACTAGTGATTATGGTGCCAAAACCAACTCACACATACTAAAGGAAAGAAAACATATCTTCTTTGTATATACTATATCATACTACAAAGAAGATGTGTGTTCTTTCAGACATCTGTACATATGAGAGAAAGAGGTAGTGGAAGAGAGGGATGTGAATGGAGGAGGAGGAGAGAGAGAGGAAAAGTAGGAAATATGTAGGAAATCTCGTGTGTGTGCAGGATATATGCACACTAGCCAAAAAAGTAAACAAAACTAAAAGCTTCCACATACATAAGCTTCAACGACACGTACACTTTGAAGATGTATGTACAGCTTATGTACACACCACAGGACACAAGGCTAGGTTTTGAAACGCGAGGCGGTATATTCTACGTGGAACCAGCACACTCACACATCGATTAGCGGCTGACTTCAATAACTGAAAGACTAACACACTAATGGACGAGAGAGCATTGAGAAACAGTGTATATGTGTGTTCCAGAGGAATAACCATTCATGTCTTGGGCTGTGTTATAATTGTAGCTACTAATTGACAGTACATGTAAAGTAGCAGTGGGTGTGATGACGATAATGATATTCATATGTGACAAACACATTCCATCGTAATCACATGACATGCAACACAACACACTGCGGGGGACACCACTACAGGACAAGGTAACCAGTTCAGCAATACACTTACATGTACATTAATACAATGGGAAATCATTAGATCATGCACCCATTGCCCATTTTCTTAGTCCTGCTGTAAGCTGTCCACACATAGACATTAAATGAATATGATCCTCAATCTCTACTGATAAATCTGATAAGGGTACCAAGAGGTCATGTGATAGTCACGTGACGAAAGCAACCTCCAAATGAGGGTCTTTCAGAAAAAGAGTTACGCTGGTTAGTTAAGATCAAAAACATAATCCTAGTCTATAGGAGCATCTATATATCTATGTGATTGTTGTATATGTACAATGGACAGTGATACACCTGTATGTATGTATGTATGTATGTATGTATGGACATGTACCTGACAGAGAGAGTGAACTCTCCAAGGTTGGTGTTGCTGTCTCTGAGGAGGTAGCTACCGTCTTCACCAGTGGACATCAGGACACTCTCGGCAACATGTCTGGTGATCTGATAGTGGTACCAGCTGAGGAGAGGGAGGGAGGGAGGGAGATAAATAGACGTATTGTGCATAACTAACAACTTCAAAAAGCTTTCATATTCGTTTTAGCCAACCATGTTGACAAAACAGCGACTTGCAAAACTTTCTTGTCACGAATGTTTAAGGAAGAGAAGACGAGAGGGAGAAAGGTCGTCAAATGCAAAAGATATTTGTGTGCAGGGCACGAAGTTCCCAAGGGTAAAAAATTCCATGCACATACGGCATTTGTCAATAAAATGCTCCAGTATGCCTATGTTCTGAACACCAAATAGTGGAACTGTCGGTCCATTCCATTCTGTGAGAATAGGAAAGTCTTTTGACGTGTACTACAACTTGGAGGATGAGGGAGGAGGATGAGGGCTGGGGTTGCCACTTCGGGAGAAGGCCAAACCTCCCGGTCAAATGAAGGTGCATATACAGGTGGACAACAACCCAGCGTTATCTCAGAGAGTTATTTGAAGACGAGAGAATCAACTTCACACAATAATTTCAAAGGGGAAAAACTAACTTGTGTGGAGGAACCACAAGTCCACAAGTGGGGGAAATTTTGCCGAAAGTTATTTGAGTTGTTGTCCTGGGTGAAGCTGATTTGTTTGCTTTCCCTTTGCCTTGCTACACTTCTTTGTTGTCACATGAAGGTAGTAGGCCATGTGATACCAAGAGAAAAAAGATGCGGAGCTCTGGACATGCACACCATTACAATGGGCTAACAGAACTCACTAGCATAACCAGACCACCAATGGCAAATTCATCAAAACACACTGCTAGTCTGCTACACAAGAGCATTCATAGCCAGCCACAGCAACTGGTGTGGTTGCATACCTCCTACCACCTCATTCATGAGTAACTCATGTCATATGTATACAACATCATAAACAAGACCCAATGCACATACATATGCACTACAGCCTTTCACTGAAACGGTCTCAACAGACTATTCCTCTATTTCGACACGCCTGATACACCAGACAGTTGCAGCCTCTAATATCGCTACTGCTACCTTTGCTTCCCATACAATCTGAAATGCTAACAGGACCATACAATCTGAAATGCTAACAGAACCATACAATCTGAAATGCTAACAGAACCATACAATCTGAAATGCTAACAGGACCATACAATCTGAAATGCTAACAGGACCATACAATCTGAAATGCTAACAGAACCATACAATCTGAAATGCTAACAGAACATACAATCTGAAATGCAACAGACAACATCTGACAACATCTCAGAACTACAATGAAATGCTAACAACAAGAAACAGACATACAATCAAATGCAACTAACAACAATAGCCACATGCAGTCCCTGCATACTAGTCTCTTCCCCAGGCAAGGCCGCTACCATCAACTTAATGTCATTCCCCTCCTTGATGTGTACATATGAATGCGTATGTAGAACCCCCAAAAAAGGACACAATAAAGGACACACTATGAGGTCCCAACTTTTCTCAGCACACATTTGCGACCTCCAAAGACAGGATAACCTCTCTATAAAGGACGAAAGGCCTGGTCCCCAACATGTCATGTCCATTAGTTCCACCGTGTACAAGGTTACAGTTGAGGGATATTATAGCTAGTGTACCAGTCACACTACATCCCATAGTGTACATCTCTCTCTCATGATCAGCCATGACGTGTGTAGTAATGGGGATTGTGGTACTGCAGGTGTCCAAATATGTATCAACAACTTCAATATACAAAAGTAGAGTAGTGACAGGTATAACAATAGCAAGGAGTAGATGTTCAATATTGTGTGAGTAATGGTGCAGTTTTCAAGTCTGTTTTAACGTGTTGAGGTTTGGGGAGTCTACATACGTAGGTGTCTTGTGTAAACCACTTGTTGCGCAACCTGTACACCTGTCTAATCTGAGGTAATTTGTCAGCATTGTGTGGACGGTTTAGAAGCCCAGTGTAAGGGGAAATGGGTAATGAGAGGGGAGGGGGTGGGGGTGGATCACCAATGTGATGGGGATTCCAGCCACATACCAAGATCCTTCAGTGAAACCTCGCTGAGTAACAACATCCACCCCTAACCTCACACACACATTCTCCCCTACCATCAAGGGAAGAGAAAGAAACAACTTCTGCCGGGAGTCTAACTCAGGCATCGTGACTGGAAGTCCAGTGGACTACACATTGAGCTGTACATTGTACAACTCCTATAATATATTGTATTTCCACCATGTTCGTTTGTTAACGGTTCCGCCCATTGCTCTGGGTGCGTGGTCTATGGCCCTAGTGCTATGGCAGCCACCTGAGTATTATTATTATTATCTACAAGGTCAAGTCTACAATTTACCATCTGCCACAAGCCGAGCTTGCTCAATACCTTTCTCTGTGTATTTGGTACGTAGCATCCTTCAGTGTGGTGTATGTGTAGTAGGTGCTGCAAGTGAGGGCTATGTTGTAGTGTGTGTGTGCAGGGGCTAAACCAACACTGAAGCTCAAAGGGACAGATGTAAGCAAGCCAGCCAGGGCTACACTCCAGGACTCATAAGGTTATAATGGAGAGAGAGAGATAGAGACTTAATCTTTCTTCACTATCTTCCTCACTATCTTCCTCTAAACTTGTACATTGTACATATCTTGCTTCAATCTTTTATTCCATCTTTCTCCCTATCTCACTCTGACCTTTCGCTTAATCGTAGTTCAACCCCCAGCAAAGCAGGACATCTTTGACTTAAAAAGTGGCAGTTTAGCAATTACCAAAGTTCGTCAAATTCCACAAGACACACGTCCAAACTGGATGACTGAAAGAGTCAGCTTTACAACACAAGGGAATGTATTCTGAATTTCACACCCAATTAATGGTACAGAGAGAGACACAGCAATGAAGGTGTGTACAGGTGTAGTGAAAGTGGCTGAACGCCAAGTTTGTGTGTGTCCATTGGAGTGGACTCTTAGATACTCTATTGTATCGACTACCATCCAGTCACAACTATGGAAACTCACAGCAACAAGAAACTAACCAGTCAGACTACAAAAACCAGTGTATACATGCTTAGAACTGGGGTAGAAAAGTTCCCCCAAACCCTTATCTTGCTCTCCACACACTCTCAACAGTCTCAATTATTATCATGATTCCTTATGGTCTTTTGTAACTAAACCCCAGCTTTACCCATGGAAAACCAAGAATGAGATGCATAGCTAACTTCTTAACCAGAATGCTTATCAGGGAGTTTACTAACTATCTCCACTGCAGTTATGAGGGAATTTACATGTACAAACAAACAAGGAGGAAGACGAATCACACAATGTCACTGGTGTCACAGGACGCCAGACAAGAGACTAGCTCAAAACATTTCACAGCCACTACTGTACATTCATGCAGGGAGAAAGATAGAGACCGTCGGAAACAGAGAGAGATAGAAGAAAGAGAGGTGGCCTGCGACACTGTAAGAGAAAGAAAGGAGAAAGGGAGAGAGATGAACAACTTACGGGATGAGGTCGATGTCGGGAGGAGGAGGGGGAGGGTGTCTGTCGCCGGCCGCCATTGAGTACCTGGTCGAGCCACTAGAGGCGGCGCTCTCTTCCAGACTCGGTGGCCGGCCGCGGTACGGGCTCAGTCGTGGAGCTGTCGCCATGACTTCTCGCTCTTCACACTCGTGGCACAGAGACCCAGGGCAGACCCTCAGCAGCAGCAAACTGAGAACTGAACCGAGGAGAGATGGCACGCCCTTTTTCTGCACTGGGGGGCCGAGCCGGCCGTGATCGATTCAAGACGTCATGTCCGGTCGGCGAACGAGGCTGCGCATGCGCAGTTGCTAATCTGCCGTCCATAAATTTCACCCCGCAGATCCACTTTTGCATATATTGTTTTACGACCTCCTCAGCAGGTAACATACTTTTTCGCTCTTATGTCGTATTTCTACATGGCTCAACAACGTCATAACTTAGCTAATATATATACCATGCAGCTCTACAAATGAATTGTTTTCTCCCCCTGACAGATTCATTCTCTCCAGAAAGCCACAAGAACCGACAGCAGTGATGGGAAAGATCACACTGTTCACGAAGGAAGCATGTCCAGCCAGTGTCAAGGTGAAGGGGCTTCTGGTGGAGCGAGCTGGGGCAGCAAATGTGACTGAAATCTCTGTGAGTGCCTCTCCAGGGTGGACAGACCCTCTCTTTCTCCTCGCCAGAGGTGAGTATGAGTTTTCTCAGGACATCTTTCTCTCTCCTCTGTTTTTTATACTCTTATGATTCGTACGCTCTATTCTGGCCAAACTACAATATCAAGGGTAGATCACCCCAGAAGGCATATTAAAAACCCAAGATTTGAAAGAGGCATGGCACACAGTCGCTGCACAGAAATGGTGTACTTTAACTCAGGAGCTATCCACGCTCACACCTAGACTGCAGAGTGTCATGTGGGTTCGAATCCCACCTAGGACAGCTCTTCTTTTTTCCTGGAAAAAAGAGCCGTCCTGAGTGTAGTTGTTGTGCCTCTGCCTTTCTATATACCTCGTAGTTTTCATATACACACATGTGAAATCAGAACCAGTGTGGTATTCCTTTGAACAGCTGGTAGCTCAGTTGGTAGAGTGCTCGCCTAGACTGCAGAGTGTCGTGGGTTCGAATCCCACCCAGGGCAGCTCTTTTTCCCCTTGCTGTCCTTGGTGTATATAGTTGTTGTGCCTTTGCCTTTCTACCTCGTAGTTTTCACAAAATTAGAGAGAAATAATTGGTTTAGAATGGTTCAGAATGAATGTGCTCAAACTTACTAACACACTAGTATAGTTTAAGAGTATATAGATGGGACGAAATACCCTCTACTACTACTATACTAGATGTCATTTCCTATCATTAGCAGTGCAGTAGTAAGTTCTGTGGGAGAGTATAGCCACGAGACACCTGGGTGTAACATCATGAGAGGATATCCTTTCCTTCTCTTCCTGCACAATATGCCTCATGTAGATTGTACATGTCATCATTTCAACAGCAAGTCATGCAAAACGTGATGCTGTGTAACTAATAAATATAGCTACCCAGTATAGACATGTTTTCTGACCTGGTACCCAGATAGTTCCCAGTATAGACATGTTTTCTGACCTGGTGGTTCCTTCCTCTCTTGTTTCCTCAATTCCAAGTCCAAATTACAAGGAAAGGTCCAAAGACCACTGTCATTGGTGGTCAAAGATAGCTAGGGAGGTCATGGGAGGAACTATATTTTAGTGCTTCAATTGGACAATAGAGAAAGCCACTGATGACAACAAATCCTAGTCTTCATCCTTTTCCCTATAACTGCACACAGATACAGATGTTTCTCAATTGCCAAAAGTCTCTATGTGAGAATATCATCACTCTATAGTTTTCTATGTAGTATGTACTTTATTCTTAGTGATATAGTCTGTGTGAATGCTAAAATATTTTTAGCTTTACCGTAGATTCTCAATATTCCGAACCAGATGACAAAGACACCTATTGTGTTTCAATCTAGTCTTACCAAAAGGGGACCTGACACAATTATCCAATGTCCTGCATTTTGCCGCTTTAATAGTTTTTGTTTCCATTATTATTCTTTAGGGGACAAGAGTGTGCCTCAGGTGTTCTTCAACAGCCGTCATGTGGGAGGGTGTGAGGAGGTGGAGAGGTTGGAGAGGGAGGGGGTGCTGGGGGAGAGGGTGAGGGAGTGCCTGGAGGGAGGGAGTGAAGAGTTTCCTCCTCCTCTCTGGACACCTCAGCCTCAAGAGTTGGTTCAGGTAACATGAAACTTATGCATGAAAGTTAATAATAAGAGGCAAAGGCCAAAGGCACCACCGTATGTGTAAGAAACAAAAAGAATAATATTATAAATATACACAAATATTTACTGGATGTATCTTAGAGTCACAACCTCAAAGGAGCAATTCCGATTGTCGAGATATTTCAGATCAATCATGACATTGGTCAAACTGGTTAACACACTCACTCTCTCTCTGCTATTGCTGTCTCAGATCATTCCAAAGGAGGTGAGGGGTGAGTGGCAGGAGAGCCTGGAGGCCATGGAGTCATCTCTGTCTGCAGCAGTAGGCGGCAGACCCATCTCCAGTCTGGTCGTTACTCTGGAGACCCCAGACTCCATTCTTGTCATCTGCACTGCTGGTCAGTCAGAGAGCTCCACTATTATTGCTAGCTAGCCTTAGTAGCTATTAGTCAAGTTTATCTGTTATAGCAATAGTCTCTAACTGATGAACCCACCACCTGTAGCCTGTGTATTGAGTATTTCCATCATAGGTAAGTGCATGATACCTGTATTCAGTGTGCATGAAACTATAATGATGTAAAGGATGGTGTATTGTCATCTCACTTAAAGGATAGTTCAGCTACGTAGCTAGTTATGAAAAAGTTACATATCTTACGACTCCTTATGCAGGTCCAGCCAAGGACACTTTTGTGGTGGGAGCTGCTGTCAAGAAAGGCCCAAGAAGATGGTCAGAACAAGGCTTACTGCCAGGTATAGCTACAACTGGGGAAGAGGGCCAGGGGGGAGGGGGAGAGAGGGCCAGAGGCCAAGGGAAGGGGAAGAAGAGCCTACCAAGCAATTCCAGATGTTTATACACCCTCTAATCTGCATGGACACACTATAAGGGAAGTTGTGTTAGTTGTTAATGCTTGCGGGAGGAGTCTTTGTTTTTAGGCGTTTCGTTAGGGTTCTGATTACTGTATAATACCACGTGTGTTTACACTGCTACTGAAAAGAGTCAAAGGCTGGACACACGAAGCTTTTCAACTTCTGTATGATACCCAGGTGGCTCTGGAGAGAAACGCACCCCTGTTTGTGAGTGACCCAACTAGTGTGGCAGGTCTGGAGCAGAATGAGCTGATGCTCAACTTTGGCTACAGTTACTACGCAGGAGCTCCCTGGACTGTTGGCCGTAATAGAGGTAGATATAAAAGCTACCTATCTCTACAGTTCAGACATCTAATCCGGCGTTGCTTCTGAAATATATACTTTGCCTTGGGTGTTGGAGTTGACCATGTTAGCTTATGGTAGGCAATAGTAAAACACAAGTCAATCATGTGCATAATACACATGAACTGTGCCTCTGGTTCAGCCTCATTCCTCGTGTGCCTGGATAGTGGGTGCATTGCCTATGGCTGCCTCTTTACTCACAGGAACAGTGGTAGCAATGGAGAAGGAAGCTGGCGTGTTGAAACCAGAGCACATGACCATCATTGAGGCCACCAGAGACAAAGTCATGGCCAGTCTGTCCCAGTACATCAGCCTCAACTAATAGCTATATAGTGCATTGTATGGAACAGAGCTAATATTATATCGCTCTCTTATCCTATAGACATCTCTTGATGGTTAGAACAAACGTTGACGTCATTTTTTGTAAATTAATTTTTTAAACAAGAGGTGAAATACAGGATGTGCACCACTGACAGTAGCACAGTATTCATAAGTGAAGACAAAAAATACCGATAGAGAGAAATTTGAAACAAAAAAAACAGAGAACACAAGTTTATTGCCACATTGTGAGCCATCAGTAGGACCGATGGTCAATCCTGTAGTGGAGAGCTCTGTGGACGTCTCTGGAGAGTTCGGTCAGGTTCATGTCCTCGAGAATCTCGATGAAGGTGGCCCAGGTGATGGGCTCGAGCCCCTGATGGTCCAGCCAGCGTTGGACCACGTCATACATACACTGATCATCTCCTGCTCACAATGGAGGGGAGTTAAAAACACACAGGGAGAGAGCGAGGGAAGGAAGGTAGAAAGAGAGGGAGAAAGAGGAGAGGAGAGAGGTTAAAACAAAATCTGCAAGATTCACACAACAAAATTGCAAGATGAAGAGCTATGATTATGGTCTGGCGTCCAGAACTGTGCATTCTGGAACGAACTTCCAACCCTCAGAGTGTTATACTGACACACTGCTACATTGTACACTAGAGACGGATGGTGTTGGCTGCTAACCGTGAGAGCCATGCTTGCTCTCCACCTTCCTGATGGTCTCTCCCTCCTTGTCAATGCCAGAGTAGACACACAGCTCCTTCCAACGTCGCTTCAGCTTCTTCAGCAGCTTTATCTACAACCACAGACCGGGATGTAGATGTAAAAAGGAGGGAAACAAGACTCTGGGCGAGATCTATACTAATAATAACCCTGCCGAGCTATGTAAACATACGAGGAATTGCCACAAGTCAACCAGCTAGACAAGACCCCTGAACAAGGGCACACAGTATAAATGTCTTAGGGCACACAGTTATAAGTAGTAGAATTCCAAAGGTAACAAAGGGTCTGGGCACACACGAGTGCAAACTGGAACAACCACCAGGAAATGGTTACCTCGTCTCCTGCAACAGTTTTTAGTGTCATCAGATCAGAAAACTTTGGCTTCAATCCTGGAGAAGAAGGGAGGAGGGAGGGAGGGAGGGAGGAGATAATGGTATCTAGAAACAAAAGGACCGGCTACATGAGAGGCAGACAGAAAGAACAGGGGGAACACAACAAGAGATGATGGAGACAGACAACAAGAAGGTAGAAAAATGGCAGACTGATAGACCGAAGGAGAGAGAAAGAGAGAAGAGGTGTATAGTGACAAACTGCAAGAAAGATGAGAGAAAACAGAAAGAGAGGAGAAGAGCTAGTATAAATTTCTAGAAAGATGAGAGACAGACAACATAAAGAGTAACAGGAGAAGAGTCTTTAAAAAGTGAAGGAGAGAGAGAGAGAGGACACACTGAGGTTGAATTGCAGTCTATCTTCGGAAGGTCTGTAGATGGGTTTCGGCTCCTCGTCAGAGTCGCCGTCTCCTCCGCCAGGCGGCTGCTGGGAGGGGTGGTGGTAGCCTCCGCCGTAGTCGTCCTCCTCCGCTGTACAGTCGCACCCAGCAAGACATGACCACGGAGAGAGACAGAGGGCAAACAGTGAAGTGCTTGCCGGCACCCTCCAAACAAACAAACGAAACGCAGAGGCCCAACCGGCTTTTTTGTAACAAAAGGCTGTGTACTAAAGCTTACACGAGCTTTGATTCCCCATTTCTCCCGGACGGCACCGGGTTGGAGCGAGGCAAAAGGTGGAGATCTCAGCAGAAGAAGGCACCAACCGAGAGTGAAAGGAGGGTGTGGTCTTCGTCGCTACTCTAATTGGAGCGCACCTTCTCTCACACACGTGGTTTTACCGACTCGGGCCTCAGCGGATTTTTAACGGGTTTGAGGAATGGAGCGTGAAGAGGATGCTACTTCTGCCAACCTCAGAGAGGAGTTAGCCGAGAATCGTCGACGCCAGAAGGAAATAGAGGCCAGAAGTCGGCATAGTTGCCGAAAGGGATCGCAGACTCGCTGAGAGCGAGACCAGTCGCGAAAGGGAGCGTTTATTTTACGCCTTGATACTGTTCGCTTTTATATTCACACTGTATGTGTTGGAGATTTTCAACGGGCCTTCGGTCATGATGTTCAACCACGTGGAGCAAGTCAACGTTTTCAACTTTCCCGTCAACAACTGCTCGGACGGCGTCGTTAGCCTGGAGCGGTACTCAGGCCTGGAGCCCACACGTGATGATCCAGACGCCCCGACAGAGAACCAGTTACGGTTAACTGTATGGTGGAAAGTGCCGCAGGGGCAAAGGAAGTGTTTGAGGTGGCATGGAGAATCAAACTGCCTATGTTGGGGAGGGTGGTGGGGCGAATGAGACAGAGTCAGTGGGGGATGGTGATGGTGCAACAGTGGAGATTTACGGAGCCACCGTGGGGCCATAGAATGTTTAATGAAGCAGTCCTCCAGGAAGCAAGCATATGATGGATATTGAACATCCACATTTTAACTCTCGGGATAAACAGTGTTTTTTAAATAAATAGTTTAGCACAGAAGCAAGGAATACATGTAAGTAGCATAGTGTTGGTTGCTATATCCCATACTTTTCTGGGAACATTATATTATACCGTCTGTGTTCTTAAACGTGAAGTCTACGTATAAAGGGGGCGCACCGGTACAGGCGAATTTCATTTTGGTGTGGAGCCTGACAGTGGAGCAACAAAGACGTTGCCATCTTCACTTTGACCGAAGCGTGAAAATTTTTGAATTTGAGCCACACCAGCGCGCCCCCTTTTATAGAGTCTCAGGGGTGTTTTGAATTTGCATTTTCCTACGTATTTACCATGTTATTTAGTTTCTTGTATGTAAATTGTTTTGGGTGTTTGATGATAATGAAAGGTCTTATTAGGGCAAAATTTTAAATGTTAGACCATTGATTGTACTACTACTATATCAACACTGCAAACTGTTTTTGACGCTACTGCACATCTGTTCACCTGGATTCTGAATTATATTGCGGTTTACCTATAGCAGACTTCCATACTCCCAAAGTTAGCTTTTGATGTGAAGATTGCACCACACGCAGGCAGGAAGTATTGCAGGCAGGAACTTGTGCAGTTATGTTTCATTGAAAATACTATAAACTCGGACTAGGGAAAGTTTGTAGGCCATATATAGCTATACATGAACTATAAAGGTTGGAGGCTAAGCCTTGTGTGTTAGTTGATCAGTGAACTCTATAGTGCTAGAATGCCTGTAGTTTGTCTTCTAGTTGTGTTCTTCTCTCTTTCTCTATCAGCCAAGGCTTCAGAACTACAGAGGTATATTATTAGAGCTATGAATGTACTAAGTAGAATCTATAGCTACCAGCTAAGTGAGGATTCTGCTCTCACTTTTGCAGGTTTTGCGACCGAACTATTGCCACGACTGAATGCAGTACAGCGCTCATTCAAGTCAGCTATACAACTCAGAAAAGCTGCTTCCTCTTTTTGCAGTGCAATAGGTGGAGTAAACATCATAATTAGCTCTATAATACCAGTATTGTTGCAACATAAAGCACTGTCTTTGTTTTCTAATATTATAACAGTGTCTTTGTTTTTGTTGTATTAAACACTGCCTTTTGTAACTGTTTGTCTGGCATGCAGGACGGCGTATCGGTTACAGGCAGTCAACATCACTAGACTGGTGTATCAGACTGTGACTGACTGCTGTGACGGCTACTCCCAGGAAGGCAGTCAATGCTCACGTAATGTTAACAGAGCTCACGTAGAACACAGAGCGTATTATTAGTGATTGTTTTATGCAGCAATTTGCCCAAACTGTGAGGAGCCACGTTTGTGTGTGGCACCTGGCACCTGTGCCTGTCCCAGTGGCTGGGCTGAGAACGACTGCTCAGGTCAGTGTCCACCATAAACCTCTATTATTATCTGCTCTATTAGTTTTTTTGGACAACAAATAATGTTTCTGGAAAATTGAATTATTCTGCCATGCAATTATAGTGCATGGTGCCCCTGTCGCTAAACTCATGTGATTTTAGGGTGGGTAAAAATGTGGGTTGGCACTCTTTACAGCCATGTCCAGAAATCTAATCGTTGATTGAATGACAGGATCTCCCCGTAATGTGGAGCTGACGGCAACTGGTTTTGATTCCCTGGAGCTCACCTGGGATCCTCCATCAATAGACTCCACTGTCGTCCAGTACTTGGTCCTCCTTGAAGATCAAGCATACTCAGTTGAACCAACAGCGGCTCTATCATTAGCTCTGGACTCTTGGATCCTCACACGGCCTACAACTGCTGTGTGGTTGCTAACACCACCAGCGGAGCTTCCAGCTTTGTATGTGTCACTCAAAAAACCCTGGAAACCGGTATGCAGCTACTGTTTTAACCTGTCACTTTTGCTGAATACCTATAGTCCCCATGCTCCATATTACACACATTTTAATGCGCATAATAGCCTAACGTTATTTCCATGTAAAACTTTAAACCTATGGACGCATTGTCCTCAGTCCAAAAGAGCAACATGTTAGCCCTAGCTATACCTTAATTTTTAGGTGCTTTTTCTTTCTGCCTTAACTGCGAGGCTGCACGTAGCATGTGACCACAAAAGTCTTTTGTGGACGAAATTCCCAAGTGAGATCGCGTATATACCATGTTTGGTTACCACCTGAAACTATAGACACACACTATCTTATCACCCGTGGTTTTTTAAAACATGTGATTGCCATTTTCCCACAACTTTCACAGTGTCGTATAGTGACACCATTGCAATTCACACATTGTTGAACACTATTCCAAGAAATAGGGTTTGTTATTCCCTCCACACAGTGCCTTACGACCCACCAAACAGTGTGTCAGTTGCTGCCATAAGTTCTACCAGTATCAGAGTTCAGTGGAGCCCTCCGTCCACTCCAAATGGAGTCATCATCCACTATACTCTCTATATCAATGATCTCCCAGCTATCACCATCCCTGCCTCTACTGGTAGACCCAGTCAGAGCTGGGTGCTGGATGGACTAACAGACGACTCAAAACTCAATGTCAGTCTGTCAGCTAGCACCAAGATTGGGGAAGGACCGCTGGCTAAAGTAGCCACTATATCAACATCCCAACATGGTGAGATGCTATTGCACGACTTCCTTTTTGGATATCCCAAGGCATATTAACAATTAGTTACATCATAGATTTTTACAAATGGTGTCTACTTCCTATGCAGTTTCGTGTGTACTATACATTTCCTCCACTGCATAATTTCTTACAAATGAGGTAGCCTTGACACAATCATGTGTAGATGTATTATAGCTGGCGTGAATCATATATAGTAGTTTCATGAGGAAATATCCCATTATATGGCATGATCAGCATCCTTTCTAAGAGTCCAGTGGTGTAGTTTCTCTCTATACTAAATTATTATACAGGTATGGGTATGGTGGTAATCTATTACGATGATTTTACTTTGGAGCTCACCGTTATGAGGCAAAAGTTCAACTGCAGCCAATGGATCGTAAGTCAAGAATAGTAGCTACAACATAACTAAACTGTGTGGGTAATCCCATATCCAGGAAGGTCAGGAGGAGCAGCTGATAGAGACACTGGCTGAAGGTGTCAGTCAGGGAATTGAAGAATACTGCCACTGTGCCTTCCCCAGCAATCACATCATAAATGAAGAAGTGAAGTGTGGAGAAGACACTCGTGTCCTGACATTCACTGGGAGTCTCGTTGCCAACTCAGAGCGGAGCAGCTATGAACTGATACTGAACCTTAGGGAATGGTTGTCTAGCCAGCCAACCATACTCGCTGGAGACCAACTCTTGCAAGTTGTTACAATGAACACCGACGGCACTGGCAACAGTACAGTTGTTAGTGAACCAGCAATGGATGGTACTCCACTGTGGGCTATAGCTGTAGGTGCTGCAGGCTCAGCTCTAGCCTTACTGACTGTTTCAGTCGCCCTGATCTCTATTGCAGTTTACTTCAGCAAACGAAAACGGTAAATATTTATAATATCGACCCAGCTATATCTCTACTTTGTTGGCTACCAAGCGAGCTAGCTACTTCACTGTATTTAGCTACCAAGCTCCATGCTAGCTCCCACATACAGTGAAAAATTTCTGTTTACCACTTTTACTTCATTTCCTATTTCAGTGTGAGTGACAGACTGCGTCGTAAGACCCCTCAACAACCAGTCACACAAATCGGAAGATACAAATTTACTGAGAAACCGCGTCATAACAAGACTAACCAGGAGGCAATGTCTACTGATGTGGACGATAGTTTGACCAAAAACCCATCTTATATCCCAACCAACAGTCTAACGGCTGGGGCTGAACGAATGATTAGTGCTAAGGAGGACACACTGCAGGGAGGGTGTATGACACAAAACCCATCCTACATCCCAACCGGAGGTCTAACTGATGGACTAGAGGGAGTGTACAGTCAGATAGAACATGTAGAAGGAGAAACTGTTACATCTGACAATGCTTACTATAATGTCATTCGTTATTGAACTTGCAGCACATTATAACTAGCTACATATGCACTTATATTTGTTTTTCCCCTGGCTGCACGAGTAAGTATATACACGCGCGATTTTATACGCGGACCTCTTTTCGCCGCTGATTGAAGTTTACACTGCGCTCCTACGGGGCGCCGTTTGTAACAAAGACCGTATATACTCACACAGGGACGTTGAGCTCACGTTCTAACGTTGCCCTGACGTCGTCGTTATTGCGCAGACGTCGACGTCCCACTGACGTCGACATCAGGGCAACGCCCATTGACGTCCACGTTGTTTTGGGGGCACTGACGACGACGTATAGCTATACCGCTGAAGCGTTCCAACGTCGACATCCCACGCACGCCGACGTGTGGGGGGCACAAACGACGACGTCCCAGTAGACGTCGAACGGTCGAATTTTGGCTTTCGATACGGCTGCCCCGCCTATGAGCTCGCAGCTGATGGTCATGAAACGCTGTAAGGCATAAGGTTTTTCAAGCAATTATTACTAACCATGTGTGTGCCGTGATCCACAGCTCAGGCTTGAGCAGGAAAACGAAGTAAGACTGAAGAGTAGGAGCCATACCCCCGTTAAAAATCGGCAGGGCGTTCGGACCCAGTCAGGTAAAACTATAATACTTGAAGTAGCGTCTACTGAAACAGTTGAGAGCGCAAAGCACAAAATAGCGATGCTAGACGGACTCCCAGTCTATCACCAGCGCCTAGTCTACAATAGTAAGGAAATGAGGAACGAACAGTTGCTGCAAGACTACCACGTAGTAGAGGGCGGTACCCTCCACATCGGTCTTAGTTCAACGGAGGAGATAAGGCTGCGTGTGAGGCAACCTTCAGGTGAGGTGGTCTCAGTCAAGGCAGGGAAAGGAGAGAGGGTGGAGGATGTTAAGGCAGTGCTGGAGGCTGAACTGGGTATTCCACCAGAACATCAGCGACTGTCTTTCCGAGGCCAGCCACTAGAGAACCAGGTGCCGTGAGGGAGCGTGGCATCCAGGATGGGTCAGAGCTGGGGCTGCTTGTGGTGGTCCCTATCACTGTCAAGACACTAACAGGCCAGGCCTTCCCTCTTGAGGTAGCCACTAGCGAATCTGTCTACGACGTGAAAAGTAAAATTGCGAAACTAGCAAAGATTTCGCCAGAACGCCAGCGACTGATCTTTGCTGGTAAGCCAATCAATGACAACAGTTCCTTAGAGAACTATGAAATCAAAAGTGGGGCCGAGATATATGTCGTTCGACGACTCCACTTCTACAACTTGAAAGTGAGAAAGGGTAAGAGCCACCAGTACATCAAGTTGAAGATAGAGTCCTCCACTACTGTCAGGAGAGTAAAGAAGAGGATTGAAGCTTTAGAAGGTACGCCACGTCGCCTACAGCAACTTAGTCTAGATGGGGTTTGCCTGGAGGACAGGAAAAGCATGGGGTACTATCACACACTCATCTCCAGCAAGTGCAGATTGGTCCTCAGGAGCCAGCCACAGTACCAGGTGTTCCTTAGAACTCTGTCGGGGAAGACCCTAGTACTAGGAGTGAGGAGTGGGGACACAGTGAGGGACATGAAGGCAGTCATCTATGAGAGAGAAGGGATCCCACCAGACCAGGTGAAGGTGTTGTCAGGTGGGAGGGTGCTGAGAGATGAGAAGAGGCTGAGGGATTGTGGTCTTCACAGTGGGGGTACCGCGGACCTCTCTCTGGGGCTCTTGGGAGGGATGCAGATATTTGTGAAGACACAAGCGACAGGCAAGACCATAACACTGGAGGTGGAGGCCAGTGATACCATTGAGAATGTGAAAGCTAAAATCCAGGACAAGGAGGGAATACCACCAGACCAACAACGACTCATATTTGCTGGTAAACAACTGGAAGATGGACGAACACTGAGTGACTATAACATTCAGAAGGAGTCAACTCTTCATCGTGTCCTGCGGCTAAGAGGAGGGATGCAGATATTTGTGAAGACACTGACAGGAAAGACCATAACACTGGAGGTGGAGGCCAGTGATACCATTGAGAATGTGAAAGCTAAAATCCAGGACAAGGAGGGAATACCACCAGACCAACAACGACTCATATTTGCTGGTGAGCAGCTTGAAGATGGACTGACATTGAGTGACTATAACATTCAGAAGGAGGATACCCTTCATCTGGTTCGTCGTCTAAGAGGAGGTCTGCAAATTCATGTGAAACCTCAGACAGGCAGCACCATCACTCTACATGTGGAGCCCAAAAATACCATTGAGGAGGTGAAAGCTGAAATTCGAGCCCAGCTAAGAATACCAACAGACAAACAACAGCTCACATTTGATGGGCACCAACTGGAATATGAAAAAACTCTGGGTGACTACAATGTACAAGATGGTTCCACTCTTCACCTTAGTCACACTATCAGAGTACACGTCAAGACTCCAACAGGTGAGACAGCAGCCAGTCTAGACCTTGATCCCAATGACACAAATTGAGTGTTTGAAAGAAAATATTCATTCTAGACTAGGAATCCCACCGCAACATCAAAAATTCCTCAACAGACGGACGCGAGCTGGAAGATGGAAAAACTCTAAGCAATAGCAATCTGGTGAACCAGTCTTCACTAACCCTTCAATGTGCCGTTGTCTCTTTTCCAACCTTCACCCGCCAGCAGTTACTGGTGGGTATTGAAGAATCCGCGAGAGAAATCAAAGACAGAATTGAACGGTTACATGGTATTCCAAGTCAGAGGCAGATGCTGGTGTGCAATGGTGATGAATTACTTGATCGTGCTGTGATACGAAACTGCATGAAATCTAATCAAATATGCATTGCAATTGATTGCGTTCTCAAAGATTGCATACAAGTATTTGTTGAGATTGATGTCCATACGCCTCACTCTAGAATGTGCCTGCAAGTAGTTCCAGAAATGAAAATCGTTCACCTCAAGGAAATGATTGAGAAACAGAGGCGCATTCCTAGTTATTTGCAGACACTGACATACAGAAACGAAACACTTGAAGATTCGAAATGTTGGTGGATTATGGTGTGGAGGAGAAGAGTGCCCTTCATTTGGTCATTGAGCCGCAGAGTGGTGCTAAAGAGCTAAGTGTCACTGTAATGAGCACTAACAATAAGACCGAACTAATAGACCTTAAAATGGATGTTTGTAATCAATCATCAATTATACAGAGTTTAAAGAGAAACGTGTCCTTGGAGGGGAGAATGTATCACGATTCAGTTCTTTTAGAAGGAGAAGCACCCCAGAAGTCCTTCATTACCCACAATAGCACAGTGTATGTCATGTACCTGGAGTAAGTCCACTAGTAATCAGAAAGCCTGGATCCAAGCAATCGCAAGTCATCGTGTTAATCTCATGGGACGAGAGACAGTTTCGCGGAGTAAAGTCAAAGCTAGGAGGTGTCTTTGACCACCAGCTGTATAAGGGAATTTCGCCACTTTCAGAGAGTCGAAGACTTGCTGAGTGCGGGTTAACTGCCGGGAGTGAGGTTTTTCTTGTGGGTCCCGGAACAATACCCATCTTCGTCAAGACACGGTTCAGAGAAATGTTCCTGTGTTGCAACCCATCCAGTAGAGTTAGTGACTTGAAGACTAGCATCTTTGCAGAGCTGGGCATCCCAGAACGTCGCCAGAAGCTAGTATTCAATCAGCGTATCATGTCACGAGATACGAGAAAAATTGAAGATTATGCCATATTCCCTGGTGCCACTGTGTACCTTGTTGTCACTCCGAATGAGATGGATCTGCACGTCACCCTGCCATCAAAGAAAATTACAACTTTAATTTGCTCAGGTGATGAGAAAATTGAAGACATAAAGTTAAAAATTGAGCAGAGTGAGGGAATTCCCGTTGACTATCAAGTTCTGCCTTTTCGTGATGACAACGCGACACTCAGAGCAGCTAAAATCAAACCCGGAATGCTTCTTCACCTCACATATGGTGAGGTGCAATTTCTTTCTTCGTTTAGATTTAACACTTAACCAGCCACGGACACAAATGTGTCCAGAGCCTTCATAAGTCCATTGCACAATACTGTACCTTCCCTCTTCCCTCTCTTCTCTTTTCCTCCCCATAAGAATTAATAGGGATCATAATACTAGGCGCTAATACTTTATACATTTAAGCAGATACCCATGGCGTCCAAAGGGTTAACAGTTTGTTTGTTTACCCTAATAGATTTCCATTCCTATGCCCAAGCTGGCCAGCTCCAGTTAATGGACTTGTACATACAACAGCGTCTTTCTTGCGATCTCGTTGTGTCTCAACAAAAAGCTTTAGCTCAGACAGAGAAGCAAAGAATGGAAAATGAGCTTGAAGTGATGGCATCACTCGTTGATAAACAGGAAAAAGAGAGAGAGGATCGTCAAATAAAAATAGGGCAGCTCGAGCTGCACGTTCAGTGTCTAAAATCCGAGTCACAGAGAATCCAGAGCGATCTGCAGGAAAGATTGGATTATGCATTAGCCGAACTACACAAGTGCTCGCCCAAGGCACCTCAGTTGGACAGCCTCGATCGATGGAGCGTGTCACGCAGTGATGTCCGCGTCTTGGAGGAGATTGGAAGGGGAGGTTGGGGTGTGGTAAACAGGGGGATTTTCAGAGGAGAGGTGGTTGCTATCAAGCAACCTCACCAGTACATTCTCACTCAGCCACTAGTAGATAGAATCCGGAGGGAGACGACGGTGATGATGCAAATATGCCACCCCAACCTGGTCAGGATTATCGCGGTAGTGTTCGACAGAGCCGCGGAACGGCTGAGGCAGCCCCCGCTCATTATCACTGAGCTCCTAGACGTGAACCTCCGTCATTGCTACCTGCAGGGAAGGCTCGAACCAGGAAACCGTGTCTCAGTATTTCGTGACGTAGCGTACGGTCTGCGTCACCTGCACACTTGCCCAGAGCCAATCATCCACAGAGATGTCAGTGCCCCTAACATTCTTCTGAAGGCTCTGGCCAACGGAAAATGGATGGCTAAGGTGTCTGATTTCGGATCTGCGAATCATCTCCAACGATCGGTGACGCCCGGCGAAGGAGCCATCGTCTACACCGCTCCCGAAATGTTTCCCGCGCAATATCCGCGACTTCCGCACACGGTAAAGATCGACGTGTACAGTTTCGGCATCCTGATGTGTGAGGTGATGACGGAGCGGCAGCCAGACCCAGAGGTGTTCGAGGAGAGGTTGGAGAAAGTGTCAGGGCCTTTGCGTGGCCTCATTGTAAGGTGCACTGACAGAGACCCTGAGAAACGACCAACAATGGCCGCAGTTATCACTGAATTGAACATGTTGCCCTGAGTCTTAGTGTAAGTTATACATGCAGTTATGTAGAAATAGTAACAACTCTTTAAAATATTTACTGTAAAATTGTGGATGAGAGATTATTGATTTGCTTTTGTACCTTACTATTATTATAGTACTAATTCGTCCCTCTAATTTCACCTTGTGTGTATATAATATAGCTCATTAACTCATTAGGAGTGAAAGGTCACTCTATGGAGGGTTGGGCTCTAATGCTCACACCCTCATCACGCTCTCCAATACAGTTTGTATATATAATTATTATACCCTCACCTTCTCCGATGTCCAGTTCTGTTGGCCTCCAATGTTGATCCTAATTGTTTTCCAAATATCTCCAAAAATGGTATCTTAAGAAAAAAAAACCTCTGAAACCACCCACCATGCCAGTACAGACACCACCCACGAAGTGAAGACTCCATGGAAAACGATAGCCTCTCTACAAACTCAACGCGTCCTTCGCAGTCTCGGATGTTTCGTATGGTAGAAGTCAACTTCAGAAACACACAATTCCATGACACAATCAGTATATACATGGTCTACACATACAACAATAGAACAAACAACACAGAGTAACCATAATACACTCTCTACCGCCCACAGCAGTAGTACAATTATCATTGAGTGGTGGGTGGGTGTGAGTGGTTGTGTGTGTGTGTGTGTGTGTGTGTCTGTATTGTGTGTCTAATAATTAATGAGATGTGCTAGCTGAAGATGCTCTCAACTGCTCTCCCTACGTCCCATGAGTAGGTGGAGAGAGCTGTCCTGGCGTCAGGCTGCAGGGGGAGAGGCAGGGATACATCAACATCACATACAGTGGAACCTCCGATAAGGGCCCATCTGAGATAGGGACAACCTCTCTACAAAGGACACTTGTTTCACCCCATACTAATACTTTAGTGCATTATTCGACCTCCGAGATAGGGACAACCCCTCTATATATATATATACAAAATCCTTGGTCCCATAGTGTCCCTTGTTAGGAGGTTCCACTGTATAATTATACATACACTACAGAATGTACTCAAGGTGGCGAAAATTTCAGCAGTTTTCACGAATTTAGGACATTATGTTAACCCACAGTCTATACAACCAATAATTGCACAATTGGGACAACTACGTTGGCTCCACACCAACACAATTTATTCACTTCTGAATAATAGCTACAGCCAGGACATTACTTTTTATGTGCATTATTTAGAAGTTTAATTCTGTTATTGCCTGTTTGACCCCCACACAAGTCCTCTTGTCCCATTCTTACCTCACTAATTCCCATGTTCAAGAGTTGTTCGAGTTTCAAGTCAAAGTCGGCAAGTTCGGAGGATGACGGAGCTACAGAAACATAGAAGAAGAGACACAGCATCCACCATAAAACCACACACACACACACACACTTGCAACAAGCTAAAGATAGGGAAGGTCTCGGTAGCTGAACTGTTGGCTCACCTCCTGCATACACGTGAGCCCAGTGCCTGGCAGTCTTTTTGTAGAGATCTGGTTCCTCCTTGTACTGCCTGCAGTCAACACAAGGTTCTTAGCTACATGCCCCCCATTAGAGCACATTTTCCGCCTATGGCAGCATTATTATGCCTATTCATTACAGAAGACTAGTTAGTTAGTACATACATAGGAGAGATTAGGACCAATTGAGGAATGCCATAATTGCTAGTATGTAATTTAATCCGATCATAATGCAATCACAAAGAGAGAACAGAAGCAACATAAATCTATCTTCAACGGTCAGTACTGTAAATTCACAGCGTGAAAGATTATATCAAGTCCCTTTATGGTGTGTGGGTATGACCCTCAACAAGAATGCAATTTAGTGAGTGGGAGTGTTATTGCTCTGTAGTGCGTCACCTGGCAACCACAGCATCCTGAGGGTCGTCAGGTTCGGCTGCCTGGAGGAGAGCTTGTATAGAGAGGAGAACTGTTCGGAGTGTCATGGCCGCTGCCCTGGACGATGAGAAGGAAAATATCAATGAAGGAAAGGGAAAGATAAGGGAGGAATGAAGGGAGGGAAGCAGGTAGAAGAGAGGGAGAAAGGAGAGAGGGAAGGAGAGGGAGGTCGTAGATTAAGCAGGTAGAACAGGAGGACGGAAGGGAGCTAGGGAAGAGTGGCAATGGGGAGGCAGGAAGTAAAGGAGTGAAACATGCAGGAAAAGAAGGAGAGAGAGAGAGAGAGAGAGAGAGAGAGAGAGAGAGAGGGAGGGGGCAACATTTGGCTACTGATAAGGGAAAGGAAGAAGTGGGTCAGTAGCAGTTGCTATGTATGTAGCTCACCACTGGTCTTTGAGGATGTCCAGACATATGGCTCCAGTCACTGAGCTGATGTTGGGGTGCCATATCTTTGTCACAAACTTCACCTGTATCAATCACAGTTGTAATAGGAAAATGAGTCTCTAGTGTAGCGAGCCTATACCTAATGCAGTTTTCAGTACTGACAGACATACAGGCACAATGGAGAAAATCAGATACAATTTCAAACTATGCACTGTAGTCCTTGAATAGTATTACAACAATAACATTGGTGAGTGAATGTAGTGGGAATAGTATGTGTGGTAAGGAGAGTACTGTCTAATTGATGTATGTATGTATGTACATCAGCTGACCTTAGGAGGGTTGAATGGATAACTCTCTGGTATGTTGATATCCAATACAAACGTCCCTCCTGCATACACACAGCAGGTTAGCTGGTAGGTATTGGTACAAGAATACTGGTAGTGAGGACACCAGATTGTCGGGACAAGCAAAGCAATATACCTAGTCGTCTCAATTGTCTATATACGTATCAGACTGACTTATGTAGGTACAGCTCTAAGTTAGAGTTTTCGTACATTGAAAAAGTGTGCATTCTAGTGAGATAGAGAGGGAGGGGAGTGATAGACGGCAGAGGAAGTAGAGAGAGAGAAGGGAGAGAGGGATGTGGGCAGGCTGACTGACACCACATCTCACAGAAGATGGGAGAGGAAGTGATGCTAATTGCCTGCCACTAGTATACTGTAGCCGCAGTCACTGAGTACATCTCTCTATAGTGACTGTGAGAGACCACCATTACAGACTGGGGCAAACGAGATCCACGCACTCACGTATGAAAAATTTAAATCTCGGCACTTAAAAACTTCAATCACTAAGCTTTTTTCAATTACACTCTCACATTGGTTTCAATGTTTTCTTCAACAGGACAAATCAGTATAATACTTGTTAAGCTTCCCAAAATATTTGGAAAGTACTAATTTAGGCTGACTGTTCAGGTGAATGTGCATGCGGAATAAATATTAGGCTGTTGAAATAGTTTTGCTCACAAATGTGATGGACAAACCCAACCTGCTATTCCGGTAGAGAGAGGCAGACAAGAGAAGGTGTGGCTGACCTTCAAACGGAGTGTCGGGAGGACCAGTAACGATGCCCCGCAGTTTGGTTAGATCTGATTGGTCGATTACCTCCACCTTGATGAGACACTCCTTTGCCTGCATATGTACAGTTACAGAAGATTACATAACTACCGTACCAGACTCTGTCCAGAAAGGCTGGATGGAGTGGCTTGCAAACATGTACCAGCTGTACTACTGGTGCAATCTGTTTGCAGATGATCTTACAGATGATTACATAACTACCATACATGACTGTCCAGAAAGGCTGGATGGAGTGGCGGGCGAACACATGAGGCCAGCTATTACATAGTGTGATGCTAGAACAACTCTTGTGGAGAAGTGGCAAGCCCCCATACATACAGTGCTGAATTTCTAGCATTAGCATGAATTATGTAGGAAAGAGCATATCAAACAAGTCAACAACAACTATGACGTCACCTTTTAAAAAACTTCCCCCAGAAAAGAACGACCTTCAGTGAAGTCCACTGACACTATTATACTAAGGAATGCTTCGCGAGCGAGCATGAGCAGTTCAATATTTCGACACGTATTTAGAATCACGCAGAACATTATGGTATGTCTAGTGCCCGACAGAGCGTCACAATATTTAAATATAAAAATTCCCGCATTGAAACGACTATATACAAAATGGGTATTAATGAAGACTAGTGTGGTGGCTGTGGCCACTGTTGGCAGATTGCACTAGATACTGTGTGTAACTACAGAGACAGTGACATGGTTTTGAACCTCTTGTATCAGAACATGAAAATTAGTACTGGACAGATTGTTTACATGTATTTCAAACCTTCCACGGAAGTGATAATATACCAGGCAGTAAACATTGCCACGTTATAAACAATTATAAACAAAGAGACAGAAAATTGCTGTACTGAGTGCTGTCAACACCCCCGTGATTAATCCATATTAATACCATCCTACAGGGAGCTAAAATTCAACTGTGCCCTATTGTGAAAGACAATGAACTACAACGATAAATACGTATAGCGACTGAGCGATTAGTTTAGAGTGCAAAATTTGAGCAGCTCATGCCATCCGCACCACCCACCGTACAAAATTCCATTTGAATGCCACGGTTGTGTACAATATAGGGCAACATCACAAATCAATATCACAGGTTCAGATGTCACTCAGAAAAGCGATGGTTAGGCGGATATGATCAGTCTACTCTGTGCACCAGTGAGTGAGTGTCCAGATTGCCACACTACTTTTACTGTACTGGCGTAACATTACTGGCGTAACATTACTGGGGAAGATTTGTCCTCTAGAGTCCACATGTAACAATAGACCATGTGATGCCATGTAAACCTCACAAATGAAAAAAAAGTGCAACACGTAAGTGCTACGGACGGAGGTGAGGGGAAACAATCAAAATCTCCACCAATTCTCGCAAAACCGCGCCCACAAAACGAGGGGCAACCACGGGATAAATGCACGCCCACCGGACAAACAGGCCCGCCCTGATTACCTCCTCGCTGGTGACTATCTCCTTGAACTCCCTCTTCACCCTCGTCACGTGGAGCTGGGCCATGATGTCGCGCGTTGACACGACCACTAAACTTTCCCCCAGCCGCCACCACCAGTCAACGCATGGAAAACCCCCTTTCCCGAACTTTGACCCCAGACTCACGTGACTTAGGCGTGACGACGACGCTTTGCGGGGGGACACACCTCTTTCCCGGCCTACTTCACGTATGCGCATGCGTGCTAGACCTTTGGACCTGGGCTGTCTTGCAGAATGTCGGTCGATGTAGCGTTCGAGAGTGCAGAGGAAATCTCCAGGAAACTGTCTCGCTACGAGCAGCTCTTCAAGAGCAAATACACTGAGGCAGATGCCGGCTACAGACGCTGCGTTGCTAACGCTGAAAAGTTAGCTTCATTCCGCCGACTATTTCTATCGCTGTTTGACGTCTCATGTAAGATGGATCCTATTATGGACGCATGGTAGAATATCATGGGTCCATCTTACATGAGACATCAACCAATAGGAGTAAGTATTTTGGTTGATGTCTCGTGTTGCCACAGTGTGTGGCAGTTTGAACGTGCACCTTGTTGCATCAGAAAGAAGAACTTCTGCATATTCCTTGGTTCTTATGCTCTTAGCTAGCACCCTAAACGTGTCCAGTTTCTTTGTGAACTCATCTTCTCCTCTCTTCTCCCTCCCTACCCTCTCTCTCTCTGTCAGAGTGCGGCAGGTCCCAGTGATAGACCCGTGGCCACCTCGAGGTGTCTTCTCTCGCAGAGGGAGGTACAATAAACACGACGACTGGGACGGAGGAGGAGGGAGAAGGTTAATTCAATGCACACATTCATAACAGACCCACCTCACACACATGCTACACAAAAGTACCGTACCAGACTCTGTCCAGATATATTATGAAGAAACAACTTCTTATATGAAGAACCAACCTACATGTGTATGGTCAACAACCAATTAGCAACAGGCAAACAAATCTATGTGTACAGCTGTCGTGTGGTGAATTCCAACCCGACATTGCAATCTTGGCAGAGTATGTATGTCTCTCTCTCCCTCAATCTGCTGCATCTTTCCCAATGGTGTCAGGAGAGGTCACAGAGGTCGACGGAGGGACAATCGCTATCACCATGACCCCTATCCCCGTTACTATGACGACAGGCCACCTCCCCCAGGACCCTGGGGCTATGGACCTCGCTCTCCCAGGTATACAGTATACTACACCAGCTGGTGTGAATGTTTGTCTGTTGCATATATAGTAGTGTGTATGTATGTGTACAGACAATAGTTTGCTATGAAGGTAACTGTTGAGACAGTGTTCTAGACTTCTACTAGTTTTCACACAGCATACGAAAAATATAACTCTCTTTATTGAGCTCGGTTATTGATGATGACAGCAGATCATCTGCACTTTATACTTTGCCTTTGATGAATGTATGACGTGTTTTACATCAGTTTTCCCCTTTTTTTCACACTCCTCTGTCAGAGATGACTACAGAGATCGCTCCCCCCACCGTCCCATATCTCCCCACCCTCACCACTATCACCGTCACGGCTCCTCCTCCCCCCTCCCCTACCCTCCTCCTCCCTCCCACTCACACCACCTCTCTCCCCACTCTCACCACCCTCACCATCGTCGGTCTCCTCGGAGTCGCTCCGTCTCTCCAGCCCCTCCTCCGCACACCAGGACACCTCCCCACCGGTCTCCACTCAGGGACAGAGACAGTGAGTAATTACACCCCTCCTCCTCTAATTATAAGGGTGAAATTTACTTAAGATGGAACCTAACAGAATGTATGGCCCAGTTGATTAAGTTTTTGTTTTTTTATTAACATATAGCCTTTATATTACTGTCACATTGCCATTGCTTTCTACATTCACCCCTGTATTTGGACTCATTGTGACCTGTATTTTGCATGCAGTAATATGAGTAATGTTTATTTGTCTGAACGTAAGGCATTATGCTCTTTGTAGTGCATATGGACGATCTACCAACATCATTGGATGTCATTAATTTTTAACAAAGGCTGGTGTATCTATTCTCACTGTACCGACAGATTTGCTAACCCCTTACTTTTCAGAGGCTCAGGTTTACAATACAGTCACAATTTATACTGACTTGCTGACAGAATATTTTCAAACACATTTTCTCTTCAGGTGAGTCGGCCTCTGGCCAAGAAGCTCCGCCTACAGTGCCACACCTCCTAGAACCTGACCTTGAAGAGAGAGACGACAGGATTCCGTCAGAGAGTGATGTACAAGACATCCTCTCCTTCGCCCATGCCCCTCTCAGCCAGGTACTTAGTATACAGAGTGTATTGTATAAATATACCAATCTAATGACAGCAGCACATTTTTGGCGAGCAAATGCGAGGAGTTTTTTTGCTCACGTATTTGGAATTAGTGTTTTGGATTGTACATGGGCAGTTCTGCCTCTTTCGTTATTAACCCTCGGCGCGCATGCGCAGCGAGGGTTACAATACTTGGGTCTGTCTGTGTGTCTGTGTGTCTGTGTGTCTGTGTGCCTGTTACTCTACATCTCACCTCTCGAATGTCTATTCATCCCAGAAACGATACCATCTACCAACGCGCGACGAAGGTCAGAAAATATGTGGGGGTTTTCTGAAAATGCTCCGTTTGCAGAGCTAGAGAGGGAAAAGCCATATGCAAATACGCAACGGCTTACGCGGTCTGATCGATCCGCGTGCTCTGCGTACCTCGAGGACCAGAAGATGCACGCAGGGGTGTATGTATCGCTCTCGCATGCTATCTGTAGTGTAGTTAGCCCGCGTCAGACTCTGCGCGAGCTGGCAAGAGCACGATAGAGTAAAGCTAGCTACAAACTAGACCCAGGCCATCGCTTAGTGATACCGCACATGACGTTTACTCACATCGTGAGCGCGTCCCAAGGCGCCAGAGGGTTGCACTTCAGTGCCTTTCATGTTATTATATGTTATTGTCTGTGTTTTGATATGCTGGGTATGTTCTGTCGGTGTTTGTGTGCTGGGTGGTGGAGGTTGTTTTTCGTTTTCCGTCTCTTTTAGCTAGTATGCTATAAACATGTTTTTTCATGATATATACACGCAACATTACTCTATAGAAAGATCTGTGTTGATACGACCAGCTATAATAATGGGTAGGCTAGGCTCACTGCGGAGATTAGTACCTAGTACAGATTTTAAGACTTATGGAGTAACTGAACTGTATCAGATTCTGGACACATTAATTTTATATGAGGCCATTATAGCAAGTCACAAGCACAAGTGTCCAGCAATCATAGCTTATTCTGGCTGAGGTATATAGAAAGCTTTCAGGCCCTTTATGTAGCTTCATCACTGCACTCAGAGCACTACAATATACAGCAAAATACTCTTGGCCTTGGGCTCTTTCACTGTGTCGATTACATCCACTCTCAGCATGTGCTTACTTATCTGACTGGCTGACTTTGCAGGTGACGGCTGAGAACCTGCGACAGGCAAAGATGGAGGGAAGAAAGACCCACCGATCAAAACAGGACTCTAGCAGGACGGGGAAGAAGATGGTCGGTTCAGGACACGGTGGAGGCAAGATTCAGGGACAACGTGGCTCCATCAGGACAGGGTCTCCTGATCACTCACGGGAAGCCTGAACTTGTGTCGACTTTGTATCTCCTTGGCAACCAGGAGGCGGGGGAGGGGGAGGAGGGGAGAGGGAGGGGAATTACCCAGAAGAAGATGAAGAAGGCTAGGAGGTCGGAGTCAGATGATGAGAGACTAGGGGGCGGGACTCATGGGTTCGTAATGAGGGGGGATGGAGAATCCAGGGGGTCTGGGGAGGGTCTGGTGATGAAACTGGACAAGAAGTTCTGTCACTCCAACTCTGATGTAAGGCTGGTTTTTTTATTCCACCCACACACACTCTGGTACTGTGTAGGCTGGCGCCCAATATGCTGGCATAATTTTTGGAATAATAGGGGCTGCCCAGAAAAAGCATAATTCTGGGAATAATAGGTCGGAATTGCAATGTGTAGACGTTTGCGCGTTCTTCTGCCGGAGCTTCTGCCCTTCCGCGGTTTTGCGTAAAGATGGAGAACTTACCCTGGATATCTTCACTGCAAAAAGAGCGATAATGAAGCGCATCACTCCACGGGAAGGCTAGAGACAGCAAAACCGCGCGAACAAAAATGCAGACTCCGCAATTTTCCTCGTTCTACACGCCCCCTTTTTGCGCAAGGGTTTAGCGCATGCCAGCTCCAAGGGAATAATAGGGGCAGCGAGGAGGAATAATAGGAAAGATTTACGAGAATTGCGGAATAGAATAATGGGTAAAAATTAGCATAATGGGCTCAACCCTAGACTACTGTGTACCGTAAGCCGAATTAAAGTAGGAAAATTAACAACGAGCCATAGAAAGATGTAGACACAAAATGAAATGTTGTGGTTTTCTTTTTAACTCTTTATGTGTGTATGATAGGAGACACTGTGAATTTTAGGGGGGAAAATTTTAAGGTCCCAAACGTTCACTTTTCCATTATTCAGCAACTATCATCCTTAAAAATACGAACACCTCCACATCCATTGTGTCCATCATTCTCTCTGCAGTCCAGTATTCTGAGTCACTCAGTTCCCAGCACGCCGTCCTCTGACCTCACTCCCACCTTCTCCCAGGGGAGCTCTCTTACCTATCCTCACAGAGAGAGAGGTTGGTCACCCACCCTCTCTTCATGGTTTTGGCACATTGGTGAAAGTTGTAAGGGCATCCATGAACTACATGTCTTACCCCTTCCATCATACACAAAATATTATACCCAGTGGTTATGCAGCAACAACACAATACAGGACACCATCCCCTATTCTTTGGACTCTGTGTCTGTTGTTATGTGAGTTTACAAAAGCTAAGGGTGGCAAGCGAGCATTCCACATCGCAAACCGCGGAAATATTGAGGATTTGAGAAAACAACCAACACCTTGAGCCCAAAGTCTAGAGGCATTCTTACTTGATCAAACTTGTCCTTATTGGAAAATTTGTAAATTTTGCTCTCTACAGATCTAAGACTTGTGTGCAGTGAACTGCCTGGTCCTGGGACTGCTCGTCCATCAACTGTCTCTTCCTCCCTCCAACCCCAACCTCCCCACTTCCACCACCCAGCACGGCACCACTGGAGGTTGTTAGGGAGAAGAGGCGGAAGAAGAAGAAGAAGAAAAAGAAAAAGTCGTCATGTGATAAGGAGGAGGAGGGTGAGGAATGGGAGGAAATGGTGACAGTAGCTCCTCTCAAACTCAAGATTACTCTGGGGAATTCCCCCAAATCACTTGATCCTAATAGCTGTGTAACACAGGCTCACAAACTGATTTCACACATTTCTTAAGTGCTCAAGATTTACCATCACTAACTGTACATGTGTACCAAGTTTCGAATATCACCCCATCCAAACTACCCACTCTGAATTACTATCAATGGACCCACTAGCTGCACTGAGACAATTTGACTTTAAAATGATAATATTATGCAAGACCAGAGTATTATTAATGCTCACTGTTCATCATACATCAAGCTTATTATATAGTACAGTTCGAGGCACTCGGTAGCTCTTGTTAAAGAGCCTTAGTTTCGCCCTCCAACTGGTCAGTAGTCAGAGTGTTGGTCACTGCTGGAGTCTGGTCGTCCAGTGAGTATGGAGGAGGAAGGATCTCTGGACACTATAGAGATCATAACAACATGGAATAATCACTGAAAGCAGTTGGCCCAGTTCCCAGGCCTACTTACAAAATTAATGTGTAACTAGGTTCATAAAGTATTATTGTTACACTGGATTGTCGACTTCCAGGGCCCTATTCTATAGCTATGCATTGTGACTTTGTTTCTGTCTCATGCATTCAATTATAGCTTACTTTATTATGTGTATAAAACATGGCAAAATTAATACAAGTTTCCCATTGTAGTTTTGATTCCCAATTACCTTTTGCTGCACTACTTGAGTCACCTGGCTGGGCTGGTTCCCTTGAACATTTTGAAAACTCACACCTCCTTCCTTGCACAGAAACAGACACAGCTTGATGCCAAATAGTATCAGGCTTCCGACGACTCCCAAAACGACAGCACCAACAATGTAGTACACTCTTGCAGAGACACTCATGGTTGTGGTTATTGTGATAGAGCAGCAAACCAGTAGCACAACTGTATTACAGAACTAGCTGCGACCTATATTATAGGCACTCTTAATCTCGCACAAAATGAGAGTTGCATCCCAAAATCTCACCATGGTTATTGTTTCCCGTACCAAATAAACAATAGTTGTTTATCTAATCAGCACTAACTGATTGAACAGTCTTTTTGTAATAAACATACCTGGTAAACTAACTGCTGTGGTAAGCTCTCGAGTAATAAACAACCTTGAATCGAGTGTGCAAATCTTAACAAAAGGGTTGAGCTTTTCCCCCAAATGTGCCCTGAAAATGATTACACAGTGTCTTTAAAAACCTTGTTTGACATAGAATTTGAAAAACAAAATGAAGTGGGACAGGACACTCCACATCGCTAAACGAACAACAGCCTCGAAACGAGTTTAACAAAGGGTTGAGCTTTTCAACACATGCTCTGAAAATGATTAGAGAGTGTCTTAAAAAACCTTGTTTGACATAGAATTTGAAAAACAAAATGAAGTTGGACAGGACACTCCACAGCCTAAACAAACAACAGCCTTGAAACGAGTTTAACAAAAGGGTTGAGCTTTTCCCCCAAATGTGCTCTGAGAATGATGAGAGTGTCTTAAAAAACCTGATTTCACATAGAGGTTTGAAAAACAAAATGAAGTGGGACAGGACACTCAAATGCTGGGTTATGGGATGTGATGGTTGTGAAGAGAAGTAGAGATGTGGTGTTAATCATTATGCTGCAATCAGAAAGTTACAAGTCTTATAATAGACCAGCAAAACTTTTCCTAGTTCCCTGTTGCTTTTCTAGTAACGAGTGAAGCTGTCTATAAGTCAAAGTTTTTCAGAGTGACAACAAATTCTCGACAATATTATTATTAAACTCTTGTAGCTATAGGTACCCTTGACAGTCAGATGAT